AATGGTAGGTTTATTTGAACAGTGGGAGACAGAATAACAACAACAAAATCCAGAAAAAACGCATGTCAAAAATGTTAGAAATTGATTTGCATTTTAATGAGGGAAATAAGTATTTGACCCCCTCTCAATCAGAAAGATTTCTGGCTCCCAGGTGTCTTTTATACAGGTAACGAGCTGAGATTAGGAGCACACTCTTAAAGGGAGTGCTCCTAATCTCAGTTTGTTACCTGTATAAAAGACACCTGTCCACAGAAGCAATCAATCAATCAGATTCCAAAACTCTCCACCATGGCCAAGACCAAAGAGCTCTCCAAGGATGTCAGGGACAAGATTGTAGACCTACACAAGGCTGGAATGGGCTACAAGACCATCGCCAAGCCGCTTGGTGAGAAGGTGACAACAGTTGGTGCGACTATTCGCAAATGGAAGAAACACAAAATAACTGTCAATCTCCCTCGGCCTGGGGCTCCATGCAAGATCTCACCTTGTGGAGTTGCAATGATCATGAGAACGGTGAGGAATCAGCCCAGAACTACACGGGAGGATCTTGTCAATGATCTCAAGGCAGCTGGGACCATAGTCACCAAGAAAACAATTGGTAACACACTACGCCGTGAAGGACTGAAATCCTGCAGCGCCCGCAAGGTCCCCCTGCTCAAGAAAGCACATATACATGCCCGTCTGAAGTTTGCCAATGAACATCTGAATGATTCAGAAGAGAACTGGGTTAAAGTGTTGTGGTCAGATGAGACCAAAATGGAGCTCTTTGGCATCAACTCAACTCGCCGTGTTTGGAGGAGGAGGAATGCTGCCTATGACCCCAAGAACACCATCCCCACCGTCAAACATGGAGGTGGAAACATTATGCTTTGGGGGTGTTTTTCTGCTCAGCCAGGGCATTGAAAATGGGTCGTGGATGGGTATTCCAGCATGACAATGACCCAAAACACACGGCCAAGGCAACAAAGGAGTGGCTCAAGAAGAAGCACATTAAGGTCCTGGAGTGGCCTAGCCAGTCTCCAGACCTTAATCCCATAGAAAATCTGTGGAGGGAGCTGAAGGTTTGAGTTGCCAAACGTCAGCCTCGAAACCTTAATGACTTGGAGAAGATCTGCAAAGAGGAGTGGGACAAACTCCCTCCTGAGATGTGTGCAAACCTGGTGGCCAACTACAAGAAACGTCTGACCTCTGTGATTGCCAACAAGAGTTTTGCCACCAAGTACTAAATCATGTTTTGCAGAGGGGTCAAATACTTATTTCCCTCATTAAAATGCAAATCAATTTATAACATTTTTGACATGTGTTTTTCTGGATTTTTTTGTTGTTATTCTGTCTCTCACTGTTCAAATAAACCTACCATTAAAATTATAGACTGATCATTTCTTTGTCAGTGGGCAAACTTACAAAATCAGCAGGGGATCAAATAGTTTTTTCCCTCACAGTATGTAGGCAGTGGTGGAAAAAGTACCCATTTGTCATACTTGAGTAAAAGTAAAGATACCTTAATAGAAAATGACCTAAGTAAAAGTTAAAGTCACCCAGTAAAATCCTACTTGAGTAAAAGTCTAACAGCAGAATTTGGTTTTAAATATACTTAATTATCAAAAATAAAAGTATAAATAATTTCAAATTCCTTATATTAAGAAAACCAGAAGGCACCATTTTCTTGTTTTTTTAATTTATGGATAGCCAGGGGCACGCTCCAACACTCAGACATAATTTACAAACTGCATGGGTTTAGAGAGTCCACTAGATCATAGGCAGTAGGGATGACCAGGGATGTTCTCTTGATAAGTGTATAAAATATACAATTTTCCTGTCCTGCTAAGCATTCAAAATGTAACAAGTACTTTTGGGTGTCAGGGTAAATGTATGGAGTAAAAAGTACATTATTTTCTTTAGGAATGTAGTGAAGTAAAAGTAAAAGTTGTCAAATAGAAAGAGTAAAGTACAGATACCCCAAAAAACTACTTAAGTAGTACTTGAAAGTATTTTTACTTAAGTACTTTACACCACTGTATGTAGGCCTTGTAAATGATTTATGAAGGTGTCATAAAGACATAGCAGTGGACAGCATCTCTGTTTTCTCCCCTCTTGCTGTGGTGTGGATGCTAGACTAGCTCTGCTTCAGAGGAGGCTGGTGGGAGGAGCTATGCTATACAGACAGTACAGCACACTCTCTACTCTATCTTACGCCTCAGACTACAGTACATGAATGCTGTCCTTGCCTCTGCTTGATCAGTTTGAAAACAAATGTTTGACAACTCGCAATTTAGCAAAATGTTTTTAGTAAGGGCTTGTGCATTTGGTTTTCAGTGGAGGCAGCTGAGGGGAGGACGGCTCATAATAATGGCTGGAATGGAGTATAATGGCTGGAACGGAGTGAATGGAATGGTTTCAAACACATCAGCAGCCTCCACTGGTGTATATGCATATGAAGGCCCATGTCTGAACATACACTACCGGTCAAAAGTTTTCGAACACCTACTCATTCAAGGGTTTCTCTTTATTTTTACTATTTTCTACATTGTAGAATAATAGTGAAGACACCAAAACTATGAAATAACACATGGAATCATGTAGTAACCAAAAAAGTGTTAAACAAATCAAAATATATTTTAGATTTGAGATTCTTCAAATAGCCACCCTTTGCCTTGATGACAGCTTTGCACACTCTTGGCATTCTCTCAACCAGCTTCACCTGGAATGCTTTTCCAACAGTCTTGAAGGAGTTCCCACATATGCTGAGCACTTGTTGGCTGCTTTTCCTTCACTCTGCGGTCCGACTCATCCCAAACCATCTACATTTGGTTGAGTTCGGGGGGTTGTGGAGGCCAGGTCATCTGATGCAACACTCCATCACTCTCCTTCTTGGTAAAATAGCCTGGACGTGTGTTGGGTCATTGTCCTGTTGAAAATCAAATGATAGTCCCACTAAGCCCAACCCAGATGGGATGGCGTGTCGCTGCAGAATGCTGTGGTAGCCATGCTGGTTAAGTGTGCCTTGAATTCTAAATAAATCACAGACAATGTCACAAGCAAAGCACCCCCACACCATAACACTTCCTCCTCCATGCTTTATGGTGGAAAATACACATGCAGAGATCATCCAATCACCCACACCGCATCTCACAAAGACACTGCAGTTGGAACCAAAAATCTCCAATTTGGACTCCAGACCAAAGGTCACATTTCCACTGGTCTAATGTCCATTGCACGTTTTTCTTGGCCCAAGTAAGTCTCTTCTTATTATTGGTGTCCTTTAGTAGTGTTTTTTTTTGCAGCAATTCGACGATGAAGGCCTGAATCACACAGTCTCCTCTGAACAGTTGATGTTGAGATGTGTCTGTGACTTGAACTCTGAAGCATTTATTTGGGCTGCAATTCCTGAGGCTGGTAACTCTCTAATGAACGTATGCTCTGCAACAGAGGTAACTCTGGGTCTTCCATTCCAGTGGCGGTCCTCATGAGAGCCAGTTTCATCATAGCGCTTTGATGGTTTTTGCAACTGCACTTGAAGAAACTTTCAAAGTTCTTGAAATGTTCCGTATTGACTGACCTTCATGTCTTAAAGTAATGATGGACTGTAGTTTCTCTTTGCTTATTTGAGCTATTCTTGCCATAATATGGACTTGGTCTTTTACCAAATAGGGCTATCTTCTGTGTCACTACCTTGTCACAACACAACTGATTGGCTCAAATGCATTAAGAAGGAAAGAAATTCCACAAATTAACTTTTAAGAAGGGACACCTCTTAATTGAAATGCATTCCAGGTGACTACCTCATGAAGCTGGTTAAGAGAATGCCAAGAGTGTGCAAAGCTGTCACCCCCCCAAAAAATTGTAAAGTGGTTATCCCACTGGCTATAGGGTGAATGCACCAATTTGTGAGTCGCTCTGGATAAGAGTGTCTGCTAAATGACGTAAATGTGCCCTTGAGCAAGGCACTTAACCCTAATTGCTCCTGTAAGTCGCTCTGGATAAGAGCGTCTGCTAAATGACTAAAATGTAAATGTAAATGTATTTGAAGAATCTCAAATATAAAATATTTTGATTTGTTTAACACTTTTTTGGTTACTACATGATTCCATGTGTGTTATTTCATAGTTTTGATGTCTTCACTATTATTCAACAATGTAGAAAATAGTAAAAATAAAGAGAAACCCTTGAATGAGTAGGTGTTCTAAAACGTTTAACTGGTAGCGTATGTAGTAGGCTGTTTAGTGTCTAGACTATTGTACTGTTTATAGTAAAGCATCATGCTTAATGTCAGTGACTGGCACAATAATATATTAGAGATGTCCATAAATACAGTGACTGAAAAAAATGTGTCATGGCAAAATGGCAGTTAGTAAAATAGCGAGCCCTGTCTCAATTGCATAGCTCCGCACCTCCCCCTGGCTATGCAGCAGAGCAGACCCGTCCTTCACGTGTACTCAAGTTGCATAGGAGGCGCTCACTGCGCAGTCTTCATAGATCTCCATGTTTTTTTAGCTTACGATGGCTGCACGTGTGTTGCCCTGTGAGAACGAACCAGGGCCCGGTTTCCCTTGATCTTTGCCTTAAAATGCTTTTGAGAAACCGGGCAATTTATTATTCACATTTGCTATGTTATATGGCATAGGCTAGACAATAAAACAAATGTTATTTTCTCACAAAGGAGACCAACTGCCTGTAGATTCTTGTTTGATGCCCAGTATAGCTGGTAAAATAAATAGGTCTAAAAACACATCTGTTCCTAAAGACATTGTCAAAGAACATTTTGACACTGCATGCATAGCTGTAATTTACTGTAACTACACACCAACTCTACTAACATTTGCTTTCATAAATGACTGTCTAAGTCTAACTTATGGATATATATAATTGAGGTTGCTCCACCCTCCCAACGTGTTTTCCTCTAATTCATGCAGTTACAATATGGATATATAATTCGGTCAACCAATGGTATGCCACACCTTGCCTACATCGCTCAGAGAATGTTAATATTCATAATGATAGAGAAGAAGCGCACCAATCAGAACAGGGCTGTTGTATATTTTCTACTCGAGGTGCGGTATCAGTTGACCAACTAAACGTTTTTTGTTGCTGTATTTGTAGAATCGGGTCATACTCTGAAGAGGTAGCCTAAAGTCGTGTCGTTAGCTGTTACATTGTAACCTTTAGCCAAATTGCAGTTTCACTAACGGATACTTTTCTTTCACGGAGAGGAGATTCTGTTACATTACCTTAGGCTTCATTGTTGAAGGAGCCTAGCTTTAAATTTAGTTTAGCTTTAAATTTAGTTTTTGTGTAATTGGCGTAAAAAATGTCTGGAGAGCCGATTACCACCAAACTGGAAACCTTCATGGGGTCACCGAGTGCGTTTCCCGTTGTATTGAAGAAAATAATGGAAATGCCCCCACCGAATTTACTCGAGGGCGACGATGGTAAGTCTAAATGCTTCTCTGTGTCGGGTTTGAACGCATCGTTTGTTCTAGGCAAATAACTGAGAAGAGGCCGAATTTTGCCGGATAAAGCCGAATGCGAATACAATTTACGCAATGTAGTAAATTGGTACGCAGAATCAAACCCTTTCTATCTGTTGTTTTTATAGTGTTATGATCTATAAGCATTCAGCTATCCCTTCATCTGAATTGAAACTAAAATTAGGTAGCTACACTTTAGTCCTGTGGCTCGCAGACGGCACACAAGTGTTAATGTGAAGTGCACAAGGACAGTAAAATGCCTTTATTGCAAGCGCCAACAACAATGGAGTAATCAATATCAATGTAGCACTAAAAATAACGTACGGCTAGTTGACAGTAAATTCCTTTCCCCACTCTCCACCTCATCACAACTCAGTAACTTCACTGGAACCACTATTAGTAGGTCACATATTTTTATGTCTAGTAGTGTCAAGGACCCTTTCTACCAAATACTGATGTAGTATTTCATCATCTCTTCCATTGCTTGAAACATGGAGCCTGCATGATAATACTTGTGGGTTTGATTGTCACATGGACCACTTTTTATATATGTCCTGAGTGTAAAATGGCTGTGGATAAAACCATCTACTGAATTACCATGTAAAATAAACCCTTTTCCAATGACTGTCTTCTCCTCCACTTGTTTTATCCAGCCTGCCATAACTCATAACATTAACCAATGCTCTTCTGTTTTGCTGCCACAGACAATGACAAGGAGAAGCTGCTTACGGGGGACAATGTGGACCTTGAAGGAGGGAGTGGGATGGGTCCGTCGGCTGCCCTGACCCCCGCTATCTGGGATAAGACCATCCCGTACAACGGGGAGACCTTCCACCTGGAGTACATGGACCTGGAGGAGTTCCTCATGGAGAACGGCATCTCCACCTCATCCCTGGACGATGCTCTCAACATGGAGAAGACAGAGAAGCCCACCACCATGGCAGCCAAGCCCAAGACAGCCCCAGCCGCCCCCATTTCCCTGCTGCCCATCCTGGAGCTGGATCAGTGTGAGGAGGAGGTCACTATCACCCTCAACAGTGTTGACATCGCAGACGACACAGGTAGGCCGACATCTGTGAGACCTTTAGGGCCTTATGCATTTAAATATGAGTCTGTTAGTGTTATTACATAGGTTGTTACACTGGTAGTTACATGGTATAATGTGTAAGTAATACAAAAAGTGACCCAAAAAAAATTCATTAAAGATCAAAGGAAACCAACTAAGTTGTTCTCGGTTCTGCCATAGACAGTCAGACATGTCTGTCTGAGCACCAAGGACACACATGACACATGTACAGGGTAACACATGCTGGTGTGTTTTGAATGTCATTCAAGGCTGTATGCACTGTCACTGCTGTAGATGGTGGTGAAAATAGATTGTAGCTATGCTTACCAACAGACGTGGGCTGGGCTCCGTTGAGGCCATCCTTTATCAAATGTAGAAGCCTTTAACTTGATGTCTGACAATTTGAGTCACTGGATTTATTTTAATCTACTCCAGTTCCTGGATATAATAAGGATATAGCAAAATATATGGTTTTGGAACAGGACTTACAATACTTGCAGTCTCACGTAATAGAATGTCCCATTTACACCAGGAGCATTTATTTACCAACCCTTAAAACTGATAGTAGCATTTGCCCATTAACCCAAATGGTATACTTGAACCCTAATGCTTGGTCACCTGTGTTTCCCCCACAGAGGTGGTGACAGACAAGGACAGGCTGACCCCTGAACCCATCGACCCAGAGGAGATTGAGGTGGACGTGAACTTTGAACCAGATCCTACAGACCTGGTGCTGTCCAGCGTTCCTGGTGGAGAGCTGTTCAACCCACGCAAACACAAGTTCTCAGAGGAGGAACTCAAACCACAACCCATGATCAAGAAGGCCAAGAAGGTGTATGTACCTGAGGATTCTAAGGTAAGTCAGAGACATGGAGGTTGGAAATGTGGGTGTGGTATGTAGGTAGGTGTACACAGCTTTTTCTAATTTCAAGAAGAGGAATTGGATTTTGTTTTAAACAATTGTTATATTTAATTTTGTATTACATTACCATCAGTTAGTTCATTCAGTCATTCTGAAGGTCGCTTTAAATAACTTATCACCAGTGAGGGAAAACAAGTGTTTGCTTTTCAAGGACGCTTTCATTAACTTAGCAGCGACAATAACTTAGCAGCGACATTGAATTGAAAGCATGCTCTCAGCATCAAGGTCGCTTTCAATAACAACCCTGTTCTCTCTCTGTCTTTCTCTCGGTACTCTCTCTCTCGTCTTTCTCTCGGTACTCTCTCTCTCTCTGTCTTTCTCTCGGTTCTCTGTCTTTCTCTCGGTACTCTCTCTCTCTCTCTCTGTCTTTCTCTCGGTACTCTCTCTCTCTCTCTCTGTCTTTCTCTCGGTACTCACTCTCTCTGTCTTTCTCTCGGTACTCTCTCTCTCTCCGTCTTTCTCTTTCCCCCTCTCTCTACACCTCTCTCTCCTCCTCACCAGGATGAAAAGTACTGGCACAGGAGGAAGAAGAACAATGTGGCCGCGAAGCGTTCCCGGGACGCACGGCGACTCAAGGAGAACCAGATCACGGTGCGGGCGGCGTTCCTGGAGCGTGAAAACACGGCGCTACGACAGGAAGTGGGCGAGCTACGGAAGGACTTTTCCCGCAGCAAGAATGTTGTGGCCCGCTACGCAGCCAAATTCGGAGCGCTGTAAGGGACCAAACACAGACAACCGCTGGCCGTTGCACACAGATTGCATCAGCCAGTCACTTCATTTTGGTCAGGTCACTAAGTAGTAACATCATTAGTTTATTGTGGTCAGCAATCAGTTGTGAGTACCCACTGTTGCACTACTCACATTTCCTTTAACACAAGTTTGAAGAATTGATTACTAATGTGATGATGAAACATTAACCCTCCCCTCTTCACCTCATGTTAAGTCCTCCTCTTCCTTTCCTGGTAAATCATCAACTTTTTCTCTTTTCTTTCAAGTGCCCCGCTGGAAGACCAGTAGACTGCTAGTGATTTATTTGTGGCAAAACAAATAAATAAATGAGTCAAATGGAATGGATTGATCAGAAGATGAAGAAGAACAGGACTGTGTGGAATTTTAGGACCCCTGCGTATAGTTTTTTATTAGATTTGAATATTTAAGTGCTTATTTAAATTCATTTAATGACAATGTGTATTTTTGGTCATGTTTGGTACACCATTGGCCAGTAAAAAGATGATTGTGTTCATATTTTGAGGGATTGAGATTGGTTGGGTGAGGGTGGGTGGGTGGGTGACATTTTAGTAAGTAAACTGAAAAGTTTTTTTTATCTTTTAGGGTTTTAGTCTAAACTAGCACGGCTTATACTTTTACTGTAAACTTTGGTCTCAATGGGACTTCCCCTGCAAAATAAAACGGTTAAATTAAATACATAAATAACCGTCAAATCAAATAACTCAAGTTAATCAGGGGACTATTACTGCTTGGTAGTAGTTTTAAAACCATGTTAGTAAGACCTTCAAAACAAATCTCTTCCTGTACAAGTACATGTTAAAACTTGCTCCAAACTACATAATGCTTGGCAATATTTCAGTCTCTCTGTCTTCTCTGCTCTTGGATTCTTGTCATTTCAAGGAAATTGATTTGCTCTTCAGGTTCTCAGTGTTTTGTGTTTTTTTTTATTAAGAAATGCTTCAGAAAGTGGTGTACAGTATAGAATCCACTAAATGTAGGTAAATAGTAGCAGAGCTATATTTTCTAGACTTTTTCCTTATTTTAAAATATAACTTGATACAAACACATTATAAACCAGTTGACTTACAGTTTCTATGACGTAACTGCAATTTATGAGTTTTCTGCAGTTACAGTATGTGTTCAACCAAATGTAAAACTCCAACCTCGCTCCTGTTTACTACTTTGGAATGCTTGGAAAGTAGTTTATCCAACTTCTCTGGGACCTTGATCTTCTACAGACATGCAGATATGGACAGTTACCACACTCAATGTAAAAAGGTGATATTTTATTGTGCTTGTGCTCTGTCTGCAATGAGTAGAAGACATTTTAGTTACCTCATATGAAAACAGAAAACAGGCTACACCAGAACTATGGTTAAGGTTGTGTATGTTGCAGTTTTTTTAATTACTTTTGATAAATGTGGCTGTTTTTTAAATTCCTTTTGGCAAGACCAGGACGTTTCTTAACTCATCACTGTGGTTTCAACTGGGCCTCTCAGTTTCAACAAGGACCTTCCAAGTGTCTTCAGCCGACTCAATACGATGCCCAGTGTCTGTTTACAGGGCAATGCCATGTGCTAATTATTACCATATCAGACGCCAAAACTCAAGTCTCTTTTCAGGGTAACTGTCTCGCTTGTCACTTTCCTAATTCCTGCAGATGTAATAAGAGGAAAATAACTGATTGCAGTGCTTCCAGCTCATGTTTTGGAATTTCTCTGAAGATTTACCTTTGGAAAGTAGTCTGGATTGTATTTTTTATTTTTGTAAAGATATTTGAAAGTTGGTTTTGTGTGTGTTAAGAGATGAGAACCTCATTCAAATTGACAGATTCATTTATTGGTTGTTTGCAAAATCTGGACAAGATAAGACAACCCTTTGTGTGTTAGAGTGATGTTATTATTATTCTTCCAGTCCTAAGACTTCTCTCTAGGGTCAGTTTCCAACTAAAGTCACTGTTACCCTGGCTGAAATAACCAGTATTTTCTGCTCTTATATGAATTCCCTTGGCCGTTATAATATACTATAACTAGATCAGTGCTCAAAGTTGATATCTGCACAAAATGATATGTAACATCATATTAGGGCTTTCATTAATAATGTATGAAAGTAGATGATTGAGAACAGACATGAATCAAGATTTTGATTTGGAAAAGCTGGTAGACGATGTAAGTTTTATGGAATATAGAATAATATCTTGATTTCCATAAACCAGTGAACGATGTCAGTAAAACACTGACTTGATTGGGTTCCCACTAAACACTATGCTACAACCTCAAGAACTCAGAACATTTTAAGAAAATGTGCACATATGTTATACAACTGGTGCAGGGAAAGTTCTTAGAACTTTTGGAGAATTATCTAATCTTTGTTTATGTTTGTATACAAATTGTGTGGCATTTTGTGTGTGGCTAACATATGCCCTGTATATTAATAAAGCATTGTTGAAAACTGAGAGCACAGTGAAGGTGTTGTTTTGTGGCTGAATTACAAGTCTGTGTTTGAGTGTAACATGACACCCTGGCTCTCTGCAGTATGATCTGCTTTCATGAGGCACTGGGTAAAAGCTGACAGACAGGACATTCTTTTTAGAAGAAACCCGCCAGACAAAGGAACAAACCATGACCAGGACAGAGTTTATCCATTGGCTCTTTTTTGGGATTTTACTTGGTCTTAAAATAAACTTCTGTCCATGCCAGGTGTTGTGTAAGACGTTCGGTCACTGTTGTGTAACACGTTCAGTCACTGTTGTGTAAGCCTCTCTGAGACTGGGAGAAACCGTGAAACGAGGCCATCTGGTGGAGGAGTTAGGTAGGAAGAAATGATGAGAGGAACTGGCCAAGACCAGCAAGTGATTGGGCTTGTTTGAAATTGCAGCCGACAGTGCAGGCGACCACCGACTGCCTGAACTACTCATTATTTATTGTAGAAGGCGCCACCGACTGCCTGAACTACTCATTATTTATTGTAGATCAGTAAATCAGTCACAATTGCCCAATACACAATCCTCTCAAACACGGCCCTACCCCACTGAGCTATAATAGCCCTACCCATTGGGCGAAACCTGTTTGAATCAACGTTATCTCCACACCAAAAAAATCTGTGCGATGACGTTGAATCAACGTGGAAAACGTCTTGGACTTGCAAAAAGTAATCAACATTAGGGCATTTTACTTAGTCTTAAAATAAACTTCTGCCCATGCCAGGTGTTGTGTAACACATTCAGTCACTGTTGCGTAAACCTCTCTGAGACTGGGAGAAACCATGATTGGGTAAAATCATTGCCGCCACGCAACAACAAAAAATATGGAACATGGAAAAATATTTCTGCTGAGGCACATTTTGAAGATGCTAGAACATTCCAGATGTACCTTTCCTCTGCAAACAACACGAGTAAACAACTTCTTCGCCCGCTTTGAGGATAACACAGTGCCACTGACGAGGCTCACTACCAAGGACTGTGGCCTCTCCTTCTCCATGGCCGAAGTGATTAAGACATTTAAGCATGTTAACCCCCACAAGGCTGCCGGACCAGACGGCATCCCTAGCCGTATCCTCAGAGCATGCGCAGACCAGCTGGCTGGTGTGTTTATGGACATATTCAATCTCTCCCTTTCCCAGTGTGCTGTTCCCACATGCTTCAAGGTGGCCACCATTGTTCATGTACCAAAGAAAGCAAAAGTAACTGAACTAAATGACTATCGCCCTGTAGCACTCACCTCTGTCATCATGAAGTGCTTTGAGAGACTAGTCAAGGATCATATCACCTCTACCTGTCACCCTAGACCCACTTCAATTTGCTTACCGCCCCAATAGATCCACAGACGATGCAATCACCATCACACTGCACACTGCCCTATCCCATCTGGACAAGAGGAATACCCATGTAAGAATGCTGTTCATTGACTATAGCTCAGCATTAAACACCATAGTACCCTCCAAGCTCATCATTAAGCTCGAGGCCCTGGGTCTGAACCCTGCCCTGTGCAACTGGGTCCTGGACTTCCTGACGGGCCGCCCCCAGGTGGTGAAGGTAGGAAACAAATCTCCACTTCGCTGATCCTCAACACTGGGGCCCCACAAGGGTGCGTGCTCAGCCCCCTCCTGTACTCCCTGTTCACCCATGACTGCGTGGCCAAGCACGCCTCCAACTCAATCATCAAGTTTGCAGACAACACAACAGTAGTAGGCTTGATTACCAACAATGATGAGACAGCCTACAGGGAGGAGGTGAGGGCTCTGGGAGTGTGGTGCCAGGGAAAAAATAACCTCTCACTCAACGTCAACGAACAAAGGAGATGATCGTGGACTTCAGGAAACAGCAGAGGGTGCACCCCCCTATCCACATCGACAGGACCGCAGTGGAGAAGGTGGAAAGCTTCAAGTTCCTTGGCGTACACATCACCGACAAACTGAAATGGTCCACCCACGCAGACAGTGTGGTGAAGAAGGCACAACAGAGCCTCTTCAACCTCAGGAGGCTGAAGAAATTCAGCTTGGCACCTAAAACCCTCACAAACTTTTACAGATGCACAATTGAGAGCATCCTGTCGGGCTGTATCACCACCTGGTACGGCAACTGCACAGCCCGCAACCGCAGGGCTCTCCAGAGGGTGGTGCGGTCTGCCGAACGCATTATTGGGGGCAAACTACCTGCCCTCCAAGACACATACAGCACTCGATGTCACAGGAAGGCCAAAAAGATCATCAAGGACATCAACCACCCGAGCCACTGCCTGTTCACCCCGCTACCATCCAGAAGGCGAGGTCAGTACAGGTGCATCAAAGCTGGGACAGAGAGAATGAAAAACAGCTTCTATCTCAAGGCCATCAGACTGTTAAATAGCCTTCATTAGCACATTAGAGGCTGCTGCTGCCTATTGAAATCACTGGCCACTTTAAGAAATGGAACACTAGTCACTTTAATAATTTTTACATATCTTGCACTACTCATCTCATATGTATATACTGCATTCTATAATCTTAGTCCATGCTGCTCTGTCATTGCTTGTCCATATATGTATATTTTCTTAAATTCCATTCCTTACTAGTTTTGTGTGTATTGGGTATATGTTGTGAAATTGTTAGATATTACTTGTTAGATATTACTGCACTGTCGGAGCTAGAAGCACAAGCATTTCGCTACACCCGCTATAACATCTGCTAAACACGTGCATGTGACAAATACAATTTGATTTGAGTAATTAATAGAAAAATATAACAACCCCATAGTAGAATAGTTTATCTATTTACCTAGTCGGCTTGTTGTTGTGTTCTATGCTAGATAAATATTCCTCTCGTGGCGCATTCATGTTATAAGTGGCATAGGGAGGGAAACATGCATTCTGACAAGCAGTCAATGCACAACAATTCTTGCAATCGCGAAAACAGCAGTTTTAATGACTTTTGTTAGAAAGAGGGGAATCCCAGCGTTCCATTCCTACTTTATTTATTTCCCAACTCCTACATATGCGCGAACTGCGCCATTTTAAACCCGTTTTCTTTTTTTCAGAAGCATGGTTAAGCAAGTTATAGCAGCAATTCCCAGTGAGTGCATAGGGGAGAGTGGGGTTAAATGTAACATCGGTCAATTGTAGGGTGACTTGGGATACAACGCCTCTCTACCTCAAATAATTTATTTGGAAAGACTTTAAAAATTGTGATGAGACAGATAATATTTTTTGTTGAGCAAGAGTAGTGGAAATCAGAGAAAGTGTTAGAGCAAGAGTAGTGGAAACCAGAGAAAGTGTTAGGGGAACAATTGTGACATTAAGTGGTTTCTGTGAGAAGTACAGGCAGGGGGCTTTTTACCCCGGGTGGCGAGTTACCCTAACAGGTAGGCCTACATTATATTCAGTGTTTGTGCAAGTTTTTGGGGACTTAAAATTCATCAATATGATAATAACTAGATCTGGCTAATGCAGATAGGGAACACCATGCTTCAGCCTATTTACTTGCACTTTGCTGCATCAGTTGGGCTAAAGGTGAAAATGTTTATTGCTAATAGCATAGCTGATAATATGGACCATGCATACACTATATACCATACATGGCCCCAAAGCGTATTTACAAAAAGCAATCACTTTTGCATGTGAAAACAAAAACGGGTTATATCCACGAGTCCTCTAACTAACACTGGGCCCAACATTAAACCGATAAACAGTAGAGCAGTGTTGTGGAAGCACATGCTTTTAACAAATTAGCATGTAGAGAGGTTTATTTGATTTGCAAGTGATTGAACCATCCCTGAAGATTTCCCTTAAACCACGAGAGAGCACCCCAGTTCACCTTTTGGGGAATAGATGAGAGTAGTGGGAAACTATTGTCAATCTTTCCTGATGGTAATTCTTCCCAGTTCTAGTTTCATGATATCACATTAGATTTCATTCATGTGTAAAACTCAGTTCATCCCATAAAATGATGAACACTAGATAATTAACCCAAAACTAATGGGAAAATGCATGCATGTAGACAGCAGTAATATAAAAGAAAGCTTTATTGTATTGTCAAAACATGTTCACACAAAATAAATGTAAAAACGTTCACACAAAAAAACAGAAGCAAAGCACTTGTTGGACCGGCCTGTCTTCACCTCTTCTTGAAGCCATACTTCTTCCGTTCATAGAACAGGTCAGTCTTTGAGCTGCCCAAGTTCACAATCTTGGGGCATCCATCTCGCTGTGTGGTCACATCCAGTAGAGGAGAGAGGAGTAGAAAATCTCACATTACATTGAGATTGTTAAAAATGACAATAGTACTTGTACAACCACTTTCATATCATTACTCAGCATCTCAGACACCTTTCATTTTTTCACACAACATTGATCTAGAACGTTATATGTCGAAGGAGCACAATGTTGAATGATTCTGTATAGTTTATTGTTGCAATGTTGTTTATTGGATACACTGCATAAACTATACGGGGGCATTGAATGTTGTGAAGGTTTTTCTACACCTTTTATAAGTGAGTGATTGAGAGAGAGCAGGTGACTAACGTCTTTCTCCTGGATAGTGCACTCTTTGCAGTAGTAAGCATCAGAAACCCCAGGACCTCCACAGATGACACAGCGCCCCTGGTAGGACCCGTAGTTGCACTCGTCACAGATGCGCACCAGTGTACAAGGCCTCACATACGAATCACAGATCACACACTTTCCATCGCCTAGGAGAGGAGGGAAGAGAGGGATGCGACTGTGTTTAATGCCGTGGCATTTTGAACTGGGGCAATTACATATAAAAGTAAACAAAGTCAAAGTGTTGATGATGACACGGTCTCTACTCTAGGAGTTATGAGGGTACATTTAAGGGCAGCAAATACACCCTGTGTGGGAGAAAGAGACAACATAGTGTAAAACATGTTTTATAAACTTACATTTCTCGCACAATCTTCCAATAGCTGAAAAGTAAACAATAGAACAACCAGTGAGTGAACATGAATAAGGTAGCTAGCCAACAAAGCATTGCTCCATAAAGCTAGGGGTTAAGCAATCAATAAGACATCTTACTAGCTCTCTCAAAAACTCTAGGGGCATTCTGCCTTCTCCCTACAGTTGTCAGCCACTAGCTTCGCCCACGACTGCCTCATGCATGTTTACTTAATGTAAAGACCGAGTTTCGGGGATCTTAACAAAACGCCCCCCTACAGAAGACGCCTTCGTCCAATGACTCGTGTAATGGAACTGAGAGTCATGATTAAGGGCTATTATCTTACTAACTAGTCTACTTAACCACTATCACATAGCTATAACGTTAGAAGGCAAGTCAATAATGGGTTGATAAAGAAGCAGGTTACGGTCATGAACACAAGCATTTCGTTACAACCGCAATAACATCTGCTAAATATGTGCATGCGACCAATACATTTTTTTATACAGTAGCCATCTAGCTAATGAATGAGCTAACAGTATGCTAACGGTTCCTAGCAAGCTAGCTTATCTAGCTAGCCACTATCAACAAAGGACACGAGCACAGCAATAACATTCACAGCACGAATCATTGGTTATTAGAAGTAAGTATTAATGCAATTATATCCATTGAAAATAAAATAAACACCTTACCGACACCAGCTTGTTTTCTACAAAAGATCAAATCTGGATGATGTTTAGCCATTCTCGGCGAACGGAGGGCATACGATGGTTATGTTGAACCTTCAACTTTGACCCACAGACACAGGTGACTTTTCAACTTCGTATTTTCTTTTGGTTTAGTTTCTTTTTCGGGTCATATAATTTTCGTTTATTTCACGTTAGTTAAAATGATTATGGCTATGGATATGTCAGTGAATTAATCTGGCTAAATTCAAAGGGAGAATATTACATATGAAACGCACAGAATTCATCCCGGGGTCCTTGCAGCGACGTAAACAAAATATTCGATTACAAATATCAGGATTTAATTTGTGGCACTCATATCACATATTAGTTAAGAATAATATATTCTATATATATCTCTGAATTAAACATTAGAGTAGGATCCAGAACGTCTCTATTTCTAACACAACTTTACACGTGCGTTCTATTTTCCTGCAAAGATACGCGACGTTGACAGCTACAAAAGCTGACGTCACCTCTGCTCGACACATCTTTGTCAGTGAACAAAATGGCGACCTACTGTCTCACCGTTGCACGGCTCCAGGTAAGTGACAGTTTTCCACAAATTGTATCGTGTTTATGTGCCATCTATGTGTGAGAAGTCACCCTCAAATACAATGAAAGCAGTTTGGATGTGGAACTGATGTCTAGATTTGATGTTTGTCTGAAAGACTACGATCAAATTATTGTCGGCCATCCAGGTCATCGTGTCCTGAGACGTACGTTAGCTTCGTCATGAGCTCAAGTTAGTCATTGCCACACAAATGGTTATTTAAAGCCACTTGTAATATGTAAAATTTGAATAATATGCCCAAATGTAAGATGTCATCGCTCTATATATTATTTCAACCGAGGACACGTTTATTGATTGCAAGGTTAACGGAAGGTTAGGGTGCAGAACAACCACACAGGGCGCTGGCAAGCACGACGCAGTCTGGCCAGTGACCAAAACAACATCGTTAGTGAGTGACAGCACCTCCTTGGTGACACGGAAAGTCAAAATACCAGTTTATTGATGTATGTCTCGCTGTTGTAGTCAGGGATTTTCATTGTAGCACCCATTTAGCGCTGATTATTGACTAAACATTGGAATTTGCCAGATCATTTTCTGCCTGCTATTTGCCACTGGTATTCATTCGCAAATGCTTAAGTTGTTTGTTTACCCCACATTGTGCCAATGATATGATCTCATCCACTTCCAGACAATGAAAGGCCTTAGTCATACTGCTCCCAACTAGAGGCAGAGCTGTTTCACCTTGAACTAGAATGAGTCTTTATGTGCTCAACAAGAGTCTTTCAGTTTTTACTAACATTTGTACTTGACCTTTTCCCACCTTACTAGCTCAGACTTTGCTGATAGCTACTTTATTGAGGAAAAATGTACTTACTGTGATTTTTGGTTGTCCCACCTAGCTACGGTGCATTCTGAAAGTATTCAGATGCCTTGACTTTTTCCACATTTTATGTTACAACTTTATTCTGATCTGCTAAGTCTAAGGCGCTCTTTCATCTAAGTTGACTACTCATGGGCTACAGAACTGCACCCAAAGTCCTATCTAAATCTAGGCCCAAATTATTTTGATGTATGTTTTTTTTTTATGTTGAATTAACTCTGTCGTCAGCTTGCCTTTTTTTTATGTTGAATTAACTCTGTCGTCAGCTTGCCTTGGGCCAGGGTGTGCGGCGCCTGCACGTGTCTGCAGCCTTCAATGCCAAGGCCAAAGTGTCAATGAGCCGCTTTGAGCCCAGCAACTACGTCAGCTATGAGAAGCTCAATGAGAACGTCAACATCGTGCGCAAGAGGTCAGTCTACCCCTCCACCGTTTACATTAGCACGTGTCCCTGTTTCACTCCATTCTTACAGTGAGATGGCCTACAGGCCAGGGTGCCAGTCTGTTTCTGACTTAGCCAACTTTGTTGTCTTGCCAAGGCAATGATGGGACTATTACCCAGGCCTTTTCTGTTCAGTGTCAGCTGTACAATTAGAGCTATTTGTAGCCCTTTACAGTAACTCAACACATTCTCTGCCCTCCTCCCTTCCAGACTCAACCGTCCCCTCACTCTCTCGGAGAAGATCGTCTACGGCCATCTGGATGACCCTGTGGGGCAGGACATCGCCAGGGGCCGTACGTACCTGCGTCTGCGGCCGGACCGCGTGGCCATGCAGGATGCCACGGCCCAGATGGCCATGCTGCAGTTCATTAGCAGCGGCCTACCTCGTGTGGCTGTGCCCTCCACTATCCACTGTGATCATCTGATCGAGGCCCAGATCGGAGGAGCCAAGGACCTGGCGAGGGCGAAGGTGAGGGGTCTGGGAAGGGGATGGATGCAGGATAAGGTCGTCAGGCCTCGGGGCTGGAGGCAGGACTAGGGAATAAAGTACTGGTAATAATATTTTGCAGTTTCTCTTCGTTCTCTTGGTTCTTAGGACATTAATGCAGAGGTATATAACTTCCTGGCCAGTGCTGGAGCCAAGTATGGAGTGGGCTTCTGGAAACCAGGCTCTGGCATCATCCATCAGGTACAGTAACAAGGCTACTCTGAAATGACACTGAAGGCACATGTTTCCCCAGTGTTGATTGCTGGCAATGCACTCACTTGATAATAGACAAGATGTCCTTATAGAATTAAGTTCCTCTAAATTGTTATGAATTTCATTATACATTCACATAAGATATTGCACATTTATAATGAAGAGCAGAGCTATCTGTTTGCAGTGGTAAGTACCATAACTGACACTCTCTTATCTCACCCATTCAGATCATCCTGGAGAACTATGCCTACCCAGGGGTGTTGCTGATTGGCACAGACTCTCACACACCCAATGGTGGTGGACTGGGCTCCATCTGCATTGGAGTGGGAGGGGCTGATGCTGTTGACGTCATGGCTGGCATCCCCTGGGAGCTCAAATGTCCCAAGGTAAGTGCGAATTCCAGTTTAAATTGGACATTCCTTTTTTCCCCAGTCCCAGTACTATATTACAGTATGATACTACATAAACCTCACTAAATCATGTTCTCCTCCTGTCCCCCTGTCAGGTGATTGGGGTGAAGCTGACAGGCAAGCTGTCAGGGTGGACGTCCCCCAAGGATGTGATCCTGAAGGTGGCTGGGATTCTGACCGTGAAGGGGGGTACTGGCGCCATTGTGGAGTACCATGGACCTGGAGTGGACTCAATCTCCTGCACAGGTCAGAGAGGGGGAGAGAGAACTGGGTTACTACTGTCCTCTACTGCACACTGTATTACTGGCATCATCTAACTAGGATGGTTACCAGCTGACCACCACTGCTCTTTGGTCTAATATACTTATGTTTTTCTGTGTATGGTGTGAGGAGCACAATCATCAATCGGCAGAGTTTACTATCAAGCAATGTTGTAGGATATTTTGTGTTTGTAGGAATGCCCATAGAAACCCACAGCATATTGTGTGTTTTAGGAATGGCCACTATCTGCAACATGGGGGCTGAGATTGGAGCCACCACCTCTGTGTTCCCCTATAACCACCGCATGAAGACATACCTGGAGAAGACTGGCCGTGGAGGTCAGTCAGTTCATGTCATCACACAAGTATGTCTGTGTGCGTGATATGCAATGATCTGTCAGGTGATGTGCTGAATATGTTTGTGGGAAGTTCTGGGATTGCGTCCCAAATGGCACCCTATATAGTGGACTATAAAGGGAATAGGGTGCCATTTGGGACGCATCCTGGAAGGTTTGTCATTTCCTTATAAGAGATGCTTGATCCATTTATCCGACCCCGTTGCCCTCGCTCTCCTCTCAGACATTGCTGCCCTGGCTGACGATTATGCTGACCTGCTGGTTCCTGACACGGGCTGTGAGTATGACTCGATCGTCGAGCTCAACCTGGATGAGGTGAGTCCCCTGCTCTTTCTAATAATAATAATAATAATAATAATAATCATAATCTTTCTCACACACACAAATCCAACCTGACCCGCGCTATCTTTCTTTGTCCTTCCTAGCTGAAGCCCCACATCAATGGGCCCTTCACCCCTGACCTGGCCCACCCCATGGCAGACATTGGGGCCACGGCAGCGAAGAATGGCTGGCCCCTGGAGGTCAAAGTGGGTCAGTGCAGTCTTCAGATCCTTTTGACCTCACAGCTGGCCACTGTGTCTCACCACCATGCGTCTCTGTTTAGACCTTAAATGACTAACTGTGATGTTACTATATTATTACTAGATATACTTTTTCTGGCTTTAGCCTTAAACACTGATGTATAGCTGTTCTATTGAATATGAGAAAGTAGACATGCAGTGGGTGGCTGCTTAATCTGTCCCCTCCCCTCAGGTCTGATTGGCAGCTGCACCAACTCCAGTTATGAGGATATGGGCCGCTCTGCCTCCGTGGCCAAACAGGCCCTGGACAAAGGGCTGAAGTGCAAGGCCGCATTCACCATCACTCCCGGGTCTGAACAGATCCGCGCCACTATCGAGAGAGACGGATATGTGAGTCCCTGGCACCGGTAGATGGATAGGGGAAGGGGATATGACCAGGGTTCGAACTACTGGGGTGTCTGGTCTGCTGATCACGCCACACAACAAATCAGGGCAACAGGATAACCATTGTAAAATATTGTTGACATCCTCCTAAGCATCAAGGACATTAACATTGGCCCAGCTCTCTATTTTAAGGGCATCACAAGTAGCCAGTTTGTAATTGGAGCTCTGGATGTTGAGATCCTCAGCAGGAATACTACTGCTGTGTCCTGGGCTCCTCCCAGCTGGCCTACTGCTGGCTCCTCCCAGCTGGCCTACTGCTGGCTCCTCCTAACTGAAGATGTATGTATGTATGTTGTTCTGTAGTCCAAGATCCTCGGTGATGTTGGTGGAATGGTCCTGGCCAATGCCTGTGGACCCTGCATTGGACAGTGGGACAGGTAATAGTCAGTTGACTTACTCATTCGTGTTCATTCTGTTGATATTCACTTGAACTTGAAAGACTTCGATTAAAAATGTCTTAAGATATTGCCTGCGTATCAAATGTCACCCTACTCCCTATGTAGTGCACTGCTTTTGACAATGGCCCATAGTGCACTATATATGGAGTAGGGTGTTATTTGGGGAACACAGTGTTAAGTCGATGTTTCTGTTCAGGCGTGATGTGAAGAAAGGAGAGAAGAACACTATCGTCACGTCTTACAACAGGAACTTCACCGCTAGGAACGATGCCAACCCAGCCACACACGCCTTCGTCGCCTCCCCTGAGGTACTGTTAAGACTGAATATACACACACAAGGGTTTCCGTTAAGGAAATGTGGCGCAGGACATTTCACCGGCAGCATTTTTAATTTAACGGACATTTGAGAAATTTACCAGACCCATATGCGTTGGGAGCGTAACCTGATTAGGGCGTCCGTTCACGGTGCTCAGAATGACAGAAATCACATTAAGATTATGGTTATTTATCTTTGCAGAACATGCAACTTGAGGACGCAAGGGCATGCGTCCTTCTTACCGAATTCCGATGCGCACTTTGAAGATGTTAGAATAACTTTTTACTTTTCCTCAGCCAAAATGACGGGTAAAAAAGACTATTAAAGAACTGCAAAATCACTAGCCTATGTCATTCCCCCGTAGTAGGAAAGTTTACATATTCTATTGGTGTGAGAAAGAAATAGCTTATTCCAAACACTCTGGGACATTTGTGGGATGATACAGTGCATTGGGAAAGTATTCAGACCCCTTGACTTTTTCCACATTTTGTTACATTACAGCCATATTCTAAAATGATTACTTTTTTTTTTCTCAAGCTACACACTACCCCATAATGACAAAGCAAAAAAAAAAAATTCTTTTATTTTTTTAAACCATCACGTTTACATAAGTATTCAGACCATTTACTCAGTACATTGTTGAAGCACCTTTGGCAGCAATTACAGCATCAAGTCTTCTTGGGAATGACGCTACAAGCTTGGCACACCTGTATTTGGGGAGTTTCACCCATTCGTCTCTGCAGATCCTCTCAAGCTCTGTCAGGCTGGATGGGGAGCGTCACTGCACAGCTATTTTCAGGTCTCTCCAGAGATGTTCAAGTCCGGGCTCTGGCTGGGCCACTCAAGGACATTCAGAGACTTGTCCTGAAGCCACTCCTGCGTTGGCTTGGCTGTATGCTTAGGGTCGTTGTCCTATTGGAAGGTGAACCTTCGCCTCCAGTCTGAGGTCCTGAGCGCTCTGGAGCAGGATTTTATCAGGATCTCTCTGTACTTTGCTCCGTTCATCTTTGCCTCTATCCAGACTAGTCTCCCCGTCCCTGCTGCTGAAAAACATCCCCACAGCATGATGCTGCCACCACCATGCTTCACTGTAGGGATGGTGCCAGTTTTTCTCCAGACGTGACGCTTGGCGTTCAGGCCAAAGAGTTCAATCTTGGTTTCATCACACCAGAGAATCTTGTTTCTCATGGTCAGTCCTTTAGGCAAACTCTAAGCGGGCTGTCATGTGGCTTCCGTCTGCCCACTTTACCATAAAGGCCTGACTGGTGGAGTGCTGCAGAGATGGTTGTCCTTCTGGAAGGTTCTCCCATCTCCACAGAGGAACTCTGGAGCTCTGTCAGTGACCATCGGGTTCTTGGTCACCTCCCCCGATTGCTCAGTTTGGCCGAGCGGCCAGCTCTAGGAAGAGTCTTGGTGGTTCCAAACATCTTCCATTCAAGAATGATGGAGGCCACTGTTCTTATGGACCTTCAATGCTGCAGAATTGTTTTGGTACCCTTCACCAGATCTGTGCCTCGACACAATCCTGTCTTGGAGCTCTACGGACAATTCCTTCAACCTCATGGCTTGGTTTTTGCACTGTCAACTGTGTGACCTTATATAGGTGTGTGTGTGCCTTTCCAAATCATGTCCAATCAATTGAATTTACCACAGGTGCACTCCAATAGTTGTAGAAACATCACAAAGATGATCAATGGAAACCGGATGCACCTGAGCTCAATTTCGAGTCTCATAGCAAAGGGTCTGAATACTTATGTAAATAAGGTATTTCTGTTTTATTTTTAATAAATTAGCACACATACCTGTTTTTGCTTTGTCGTTATGGATGTTGTGTGTAGATTGAGGATTTGTATTTATTTAATCAATTTTAGAATAAGGCTGACTTAACAAATTGTGGAAAAAGTGAAGGGGTCTGAATACTTTCCGAATGCACTGTATGTTTTCAAAATGCAAAGTGGTTGTGTGTGACGCTGAAGCCTGCCTACCGTAGGCCTATATGCACTTGAATGGGAAGCATGCTTAAATTACCAGTTGAGAAATAAAAATAGTGGGTATTTTTAATTATGGCCATCAAAACCGTTTAACAGGCTATTTGCATTTAGAAGTGTTACGCAATGATTGGGCTTATAAAAGCACAGCAACAAATGAGCTGTAGCTGCTGCTCTCGCGCTGTCTGACATATTTTCCACTTATAGGCTCTATCTGTATGCTGTGCGCATGTAATAAACATAACAGTAACAAATGTACAAGACAATTTAATTATGCAAATTAACCTATAGACCGATTTGTATATTTTTATAAACATGACTGGTCAAATGTATTTCCATCAATGAATAGGCTAAAAATCATTATTTTGCAATGTGTTTTATTTCCCTTTTTTTTTTTTGGCTGGCGCCAGTTTTTTGAAAATGTTTTTTTTATCGTCAGAAGCCGGTTATTACCGGCAAACGGAAACCTTCACACACAGCTTTTTTGCTGACTCACTTTCATTCTGTTCTCACTCACTTCCATGGAAGATATTGTACACACCTCACCTATCTTGTCCTCTCCTCCTCCAGATCGTCACAGCCCTGGCCATCGCAGGAACCCTGGATTTCAACCCTGAGGTTGACTACCTCACGGCCGCCAACGGAGAGAAGTTCAAGCTGGAGCCTCCCAACGCAGACGAGCTGCCTAAGTTGGACTTTGACCCCGGTCAGAACACCTACCAGCACCCCCCTGCAGAGGGTGGATCCAAGCTGAGGGTGGACGTCAGCCCCACCAGCACCCGGCTGCAGCTGCTGGAGCCCTTTGACAAGTGGGCCGGAGGAGATCTGGAGGACCTGCAAGTCCTCATCAAGGTCAGGGGTCAAAGGGGGGAAAAACTAGGGTCTGTTCAGGAGGGTGGATCGTTACAGAACTTTCTGATATACATTTATTTTCAGTTAAACTTACTCTTCCTCCTTTCTCCCAATCCACCATTCTCTGTCTCTGTCCATCCAGGTGAAGGGGAAGTGCACCACAGACCACATCAGTGCTGCCGGCCCCTGGCTCAAGTTCCGTGGTCACCTTGACAACATCTCTAACAACATGCTGATTGGAGCAGTCAACATCGAGAACGACGGCGTCAACAAGATCAAGAATCAGCTGACGGGAGAGTACGGCGGTGTTCCTGACGTCGCCCGCCATTACAAGGTAAGCACCCCGGATGATGAACCATGACCCCTAGCTCAAACATCCTCACTTGAGATTAAAACCTGTACTTTTCGCTCAAATTTCCCTTTTGAAAGTCTGTTGTGCGTGTCTCAGCTCTTTTATAGATTCAGAATACCCATAAACATTTGGCCATCAGTGTAGGAAATGGCAATGAGGGAATTTAAGTTTCCCTGATGTGGTTGGTGATCTCTCCTCTCCCAGGCCAACGGTCTGTCATGGGTGGTTGTGGGAGATGACAACTACGGTGAGGGATCCAGCAGAGAGCATGCCGCCCTGGAGCCCAGACACCTGGGAGGAAGATGCATTATCGTCAAGAGCTTCGCCAGGATCCACGGTAACTTAAGCACAGGCCAAAAGGGATAGTTTGTTGTGTATGTGCGCACACCCGCAGAACATTGCATCTACATTGCTTCCTTCCCCAACTTCGACGATATTCACCACTTTGATCTCAAAATAGACAATCCAAGTGAATCGTGTAGATCCTAATTGGGGGGGGGGCTCGTATCGAAATCATTGACTGGAAAATGTATTGAACTTATTAGAAAAGTAGTTAAATTGCACAGTTTCTCCTAATTCATGAGAAGAATGCATCAGTGATTCATATTTCCTGCAACTTTCTGAAGTAATGCCTGTTTCCTTGCACCTATGTTTGTGTAGCCAGTTGGCATGCCTAAACAGGCATTTCTAAAGGCTTTCCCAGAAAACCTTCCCAATTAAATGTTGACTGCAAAGTAGGCCTACCTGGCAGAATGATATCATGATTTGTATGAATCAGGTGGGCATTTGTTTTGCAAACTCTCTTCCCCAGACCTCAAGTTGTCTCCTGGTGTGGTGTAAGCATTGTTGTGGACTTAGAACATCCAACTTTGTTTTTCTAAATGTTTGTTGTGAACTGGAGAAGAAAATAAACCGAATTGAATGTGGAAACAACAAAGATGATATAGTTCCCTATGTCTTCCTGTCGGTGGAGACCAATTATCATTTTGTGTCATGATAAACCGTAAGCGCTGACCAGAGCTCCCCCCCGGACACTTTTCTCTGTCTATTGTGATTGGGAAAGTTAGGAGTATTGAGACTAATTAAATGTTATGTACTTGTTGTTCTCTGAAAACCAGCAAATAGATTTTCTTGCACTTCACACTGCATTTCTGTGTCTGTTTGGGGAGGGGGGGGAGTCACCTTTATGGGTCCTCACCAGTTTGCATCCCTGCAGCAACCCTTTTTTCCTTTCCTCTCTGCAGAGACCAATCTGAAGAAACAGGGTATGCTGCCCCTGACCTTCCAGAACCCTGCTGACTATGACAAGATCCGACCAGACGACAAGATCTCCATCAAAGGACTCGCAACCTTCGCCCCAGGAAAGGTGAGTGGCACTTACTCCAATCTCTAGGCTTTAGTTCCAGCCCATCATGGTCACACCTGATTTAACTAATCATGGTCTAAATTGGACTGTCCAGGATATGAACCACCCAGCTCCAGTGTTTAGCCTTAAGGTTTGTTTCCAGGTAAGGTTCACCATGTATGTCTGTCTAACTGTGTGTGTGTGGCTGCCCCCTCCAGCCTTTGTATGCAGTTGTGAAGCACAGTGACGGCACCAAAGATGACTTCCAGCTGAACCACACCTTCAATGAGACACAAATCGAGTGGTTCCAGGCCGGCTCCGCCCTCAACAGGATGAAGGAGCTCCAGTAGCTGGAGAGGGAGTAGGAGGAAGAGCTACGGATACAGGGGGAGGGGTGGAGAGGACTGGGGACATGGGGCAGGCAGAGATGGGGCAGGTTTGTGTTTAAAGATATGGGATATGTCTCAATCTTGAACGGCTTCCTTTCCTCCTCGCCTTATGTTCGTTACCACTGATCTGAAAGGTGAAAGTACATTTAATATGACGAATCTATCCGCTCCATTTAACCAATCAGTGATAAGTAGGGAAAGGAGCTGAGGAGAGGACCATATAAGAGTATTGAGACATGGCCGTGGTAAAGAATAAATGCCGCACCTTCCGGTCCAGTCCAATCATCAACCACTGCATGTGTCATCCACTGCCCTGCACTGTAGAGACGAGTCCATCAAAACTTCTCATATTTAAGATACACATGTCAAACCTCGCAGCACAGACTGCAGGAGTGCATAGACACAAAGACTGGTACTACTGTACAGTTTAAGGTAGGGTGAGCTGCTGTCGTAGACTGATAAGTAACAGTCAGGCATGAATGTTGGCGCTCAGATACTGTATACAAAGGGAGGCATTCTGCTTTTGAGAGACACACACACCAACACTTTCTTCTTTGAGTGGAACGGTAACCTAACACAATGCCAACTGCAGCTCCTCCAGTTATCACAGCTGTTCAAACATTCAGTCCATCCAAATTGTAGTCGCTCACCTGGTCTGAGTTGCACCAGTCTAACGCTGTATCTGGCACAGGCTGCGTGAGATATCTGCTTTAGTGATTGTGTGATGGAGTGTTTGCTTTGTCCTTTCAGCTCCATCCACATACCCAGTAGATTCTAAAAAAAATACAAAGACTAGAATACACAGCAAATGGACATCTGTGTGTCTATATATAAAAATGAGTGTGTATGCGATAACTCTTTGTAACAACCACTCCTCTCCATCCCACCACTAACACCCCCTGTGCTTTTGGATCTTACTGAATAATACCACACTGGTCAAAGCTTCCAATATTTTAGAGTGATTGCTTATGTATTTTTTTCCTCTAAAAGCTTGGATGTGCATTAGTGAAGTTTTGTTTTTGTATCGTTGTCTCTGGAGAACCGTGTTAGTTGGACTACCAGACTCTTTCGCACTGTCCTGTGTATTTTTAAGTGCCCTTTCTTTTTGTAGGATTACGTTAGGGTGCAGAGTTTGTCCTGATCAGGGAAAAACTCCTGGCCCTTGTGTTTTTATCGCAGACGTGAACCCCTGTGTCAAAGCTAGATACTGCTGGACCAGTGGTTCCCAATCAGTGGTACTCCGGACAGGGAGAAATTCAGTTGGTGGTACATTAACAGAAAAAGGTTGGGAACCACTGCGCTAGACAACACTCCCATTGCTTGGCAGTGCATGGGAACTCTCTCAAACACACTAGCTAACGCTGCCTAGAAACATTTCAACAATAAAATAAAAATGGTATGAATTTTTCTGTAATAAAAAAAGTTATAAACCACATTAAAACATTTAATCCAACAGCATTCATGTTGTGACGAAGTGCAGCATCTTTCCGCGTCTGTTGTGGTGTGTTCTGCTTTGCAATGGGAGTAATAATCACACAATAACTCCATTGTAAACAATCACCTCCCCTCCCCTTACCTCCCCTCATGTCTGCAGTATGGAAAGTGTCTGGATCATGTATATTTATGTTTTTTTCTTTTTTTCCCCTTGTATTTAATAAATTAGTGCTATTCGGTCAGGATGAGTTTTTAAATAAACTGACATTTCAATGAATATAGACCACTGCCTCTGTGGGTTAAGTTAGTTGTGTTGTCTGGAGTTTCCACTTGTTCAGTTGTGTGTGTGTGTGTGTGTGTGTGAGGGGGGGGGGGGGGAACGAGAACCAAGCAAACTGACATTTGTTCCCAGAAAGTTCCCAGAACATTCGTTAGGTTGCGGCAAATGTTTTCATAACACCAAAACTGCCCAGTCCTGCTGATGATTATAGAATGTTTGTATAACATTTTTGCCTGATGTTGCAAGAATGTTCCTAGAACACAGAGTATACAAAACATTAAGAACACCTGCTCTTTCCATGACAGACTGACCAGGTGAAAGCTATGATCCCTTATTGATGTTAAATCCATTTCAATCAGTGTAGATGAAGGGGAGGAGACCGGTTAAAGAAGGATTTTTAAGCCTTAGACAATTGAGAAGTGGATTGTGTATGTTTGCCATTCTTAGGGTGAATGGGCAAGACAAAAACATTTTAAGTGCCTTTTAATGGGGTATGGTAGTAGGTGCCAGGTGCACCGGTTTTCACACTCAACAGTTTCCCGTGTGTATCAAGAATGGTCCACCACACAAAGGACATTCAACCAACTTGACACAACTGTGGGATTCATTGGAGCATCCTTGTGGATGGGCCAGCATCCCTGTGGAACGCTTTCGACATGTTGTAGAGTCCATGCCCCGACTAATTGATGCTGGTCTGAGGGCAAAAGGGGGTGCAACTCAATATTAGGAAGGTGTTCCTAATGTTTGGTATACTTGGTGTATGTTCCCCAAACAAAAAACTGTCCAGTTGTGAGGATGATTCTACAATGTTTCTTTTAGGGTGCAAAAATAATTCACCTGAGGTTACAAAACCTTCCTAGAAGACATTTAGTCTGTTCTTTAAAGATTCCCAGAATGTTTCTTTAGGTTGTGGGAACATTGTGGGGATATGAGATGGGTTCCCAAAACACTAAAACTGTCCATGGCTATATACTGAAAAAATATGTGAGAGACCTTCCCTGGTGGCGCAGAGGATAAAGGACCTGGCTTAGGAACCAAACATTACAGGTTCAAACCCAACATGTGCAGATTGTCTACATATAACGTGCAAAATATAGTTGTGTTTGTATGATTAAATGCTGGGCAAATATCCTATGAATAACATTTAAAGGCTCTGCGTCTATATCACCTTGTAGTGGGCCTAGAATACTAGTCTTGGTAACACCTGCCTCTCTACGTCCTTGACACAATGTTCCCACCAGACTGTTCCCACAACCTAATGAAACATTCTGGTAACATTTTAAGAACAGACTAAATGTGTTCTGGGAACATTCTTGCAACATCAGGTGAATGTTTTATACAAACATTGTATAACCATCAGCAAAACTGGACAGTTTTTGTGTTATGAGAACATTTGCCATGACCTAACGAATGTTCTGGGAACTTTCACACTACCAATTGTTGTTTGCTTGGAAAACATTGCTGGTACATTATGTTATTACATGATCACTTTTGGGGCATGTTCTGTGGTGGTTGTTACAGATTTTAGTGAATGTTAGGAGAACATTCCAAGCATATTTCATTTAAAACAATCCGGCCCGCGTGGTTTGAGTAAAACATAACTCAGTATACTTTAAATGACTAAAACCAAATCGAAACTGTGTAGAAATGATAATGGACCTACATTCACAGTTTCCTGACTGTGTCCAGCTCGCTAATAATCACCGAAATGAAAGCAAGACAGTCTGGGTGTCACGACCATCGTTAGATGAAGCGGACCAAGGCGCAGCGTGATATGCGTACATCTTTTATTTCGTACACAACACTAACAAACAACAAACCAAACGATACGTGAAGTCCTAGGTTAACACACCAAAACAAACCTTACGGAACAAGATCCCACAATAAACAGTGCCAAACAAGCTGCCTAAGTATGGTCCCCAATCAGAGACAACGAGAATCAGCTGCCTCTGATTGGGAACCACCCTGGCCAACATAGAAAACACGAACTAGAACAAAACATAGAAAATCACACATAGAAAATCCACACCCTGGCTCAACATATGAGAGTCCCCAGAGCCAGGGCGTGACACTGGGAGAATCTAACATTTAAAAACAGATGGATAGAGGACTATTTTTTTAGCCGATTTTGACGGCGAGGAAATATAACATATTTCCAGAGCGGCCCTCCGTCCGGCCCTCGTTGAAGACCGAATGCGGCCCCCGGTGCAAAATGTATTTGACTCCCTACTCTAGAAGTCCCTATGGTCTCACAGACCTATCATGTTAAATGTTTTCACTCACAGTGAATAGATCAGAATCTTATCTGACTGCTCTCATACAGTTGGATGTTGTTTTTCCAACAATATTTATTTGATCAGAGCTCACCGATGTTCACCATTCGGTAGACCACAGATCACGTGTTAGCCTACTTCTTCTATGATTAGGACTACTAGGAATTTATAGCCACGTGGCCTATTACAATATACAAAACATAGAAGCACCTGCTGTCTTCATTGTATCCGCACAGTAACCCCCGTACCCTCGCACTGTTTCCTTCTCTCTTTTCTCGCACTGTTTCCTTCTCTCTTTTCTTTAACCTATTCATTTTACGCCCTCATCATCCAGACAGACCAGCTAGTGCCGCGCAGCCAGCCACAAGCAATAGGTATTCTCTCCACATGTCTGTGCAGGTTTATTTGTATTTAATTATATAATTATCGTTATATAACAGTCAAGACATCTGCACGTTTGAACGAAAACAGCTTGACATTTTACGGTAAGAGCTCGATAAATCAAAAGCCTACAGTTTGAGAGTGCGCTTTAGGCTATATATTTTCTTATCGGACCTATTTATCTACAATTTACCATCCAGTTGAAATGTTTATATTCTATGTAAACTGTTATGTTGATTAATCTTTTGTGATGAGTAGGCTAGCCTTTAAACATTTTACGTTTTGTGCCGCTTCTACCTTATTTTGAGCGATCAATGTATTCTCCTGTTGTCTCAGCTGGTATGCTACACATGAGAATCTTCTGGAATCAAGATTTAATGATGGGTTTAATTTGGGGATCGAGTGAGAGCCTAGACCTCATTCTATCTTAGAGAAGGGCATTTTAAAGTTAAAAGGATTAGACAAATTAAAGGCGGCCAGAAATGAGCAGCGTCGTGAGTGTCACTGTCTGTGTGTGTAGTGTACTGAATATTTACGTGTCTCCCATGCTGATGATGCTAATGACAAACAGCCACAGTGCCCAGCTGATTTTGGGAGGTGGAAGGCGAGTTGGGACAGCCTTTCTGTCTAGTTGAAGCCACCCCGGTCCGCCCTGGGGTTTACAGTGCTCCAAAACGACCCAGATATCATTTTACAGTTTATAATCCCATTCTCTCTTTAATAGGCTTACAGTCACACTCACTACTTTTACAAGCTGTATATATGAAATGCTCCTCATGAGACACGTACGAATGGATAAACTGTATTGTTAGATTAAAGTAGTTATCAATGTATCATTTAGTAGCCAATATTTCGTCAATAACAGTTTTCAAACTGTCTTTTTTCTGTGTCAAATTGTGACAGATGTGTGTACACCTTCAAGTCAACATTCCACCAGCCTATGTGACATTGTCATCAGAATAAAACCTGCCATCTTTCTTTGACACATGGATGGGGGACACTATTAATCCCTTGCTCTTAAATGAGTTTTGGGATAAGAGATTACACCGCCTCTTACCAATAAAGAATAGCAAGTGCCTATTCCTCTTTATTGGATCATTATGATTCCATACCACCCTCCTCAAACCCTGGTCATCACCCTGTCTCCACCCTGACCCTCCAGTCAATATAGGGCAGACTCTACTCCACCATGCAGGTAGCTATATTTACAGTGGATATAAAAAGTCTACACACCCCTGTTAAAATGCCAGGTTTTTGTGATGTAAAAGAATGAGACAAAGATAAATCATGTCAGAACTTTTTCCACCTTTAATGTGACCTATAACGTGAACAATTCAATTGAAAAACAAACTGAAATCTTTGAGGGGAAAAAAAAAAAAAAAAAAACTCACAATAACCTGGTTGCATAAGTGTGCACACCCTTAAACTTTGTTGAAGCACCTTTTGATTTTATTACAGCACTCAGTCTTTTTGGGTAGGAGTCTATTAGCATGGCACATCTTGACGTGGCAATATTTGCCCACTCTTCTTTGCAAAAGCGCTCCAAATCTGTCAGATTGCGAGGACATCTCCTGTGCACAGCCCTCTTCAGATCACCCCAGAGATGTTCAATTGGATTCAGGTCTGGGCTCTGGCTGGGCCATTCCAAAACGTGAATCTTCTTCTGGTGAAGCCATGCTTTTGTGGATTTGGATGTGTGCTTTGGGTCGTTGTCGTGCTGAAAGGTGAACTTCCTCTTCATCTTCAGCTTTCTAACGGACGCCTGAAGGTTTTGTGCCAAAATTGCCTGGTATTTGGAACTGTTCATAATTCCCTCCACCCTGACTAAGGCCCCGGTTCCAGCTGAAGAAAAACAGCCCCAAAGCATGATGCTGCCACCACCATGCTTCACTGTCGGTATGGTGTTCTTTGGGTGATGTGCAGTGTTGTTTTTGCGCCAAACATACCTTTTGGAATTATGGCCAAAAAGTTAAACCTTGGTTTCATCAGACCATAACACATTTTCCCACGTGCTTTTGGGGGACTTGATGTTTGTTTTTGCAAACTTCAGCCGGACTTGGGAGATTGTTGTCACATGTAGCACACAGCCAGTACTTACCAGAAATTCCTGCAGTTCCTTTAATGTTGCTGTAGGCCTCTTGGAAGCCTCCCTGACATGTTTTCTCGTCTTTTCATAAATTTTGGAGGGATGTCCAGTTCTTGGTAATGTCTCTGTTGTGCCATATTTTCTCCACTTGATGATGACTGTCTTCACTGTGTTCCATGGTATACAGTGGGGAGAACAAGTATTTGATACACTGCCGATTTTGCAGGTTTTCCTACTTACAAAGCATGTAGAGGTCTGTCATTTTTATCATAGGTACACTTCAACTGTGAGAGACGGAATCTAAAACAAAAATCCAGAAAATCACATTGTATGATTTTAAAGTAATTAATTTGCATTTTATTGCATGACATAAGTATTTGATCACCTACCAACCAGTAAGAATTCCGGCTCTCGTAGACCTGTTAGTTTTTCTTTAAGAAGCCCTCCTGTTCTCCACTCATTACCTGCATTAACTGCACCTGTTTGAACTCGTTACCTGTATAAAAAACACCTGTCCACACACTCAATCAAACAGACTCCAACCTCTCCACAATGGCCAACACCAGAGAGATGTGTAAGGACATCAGGGATAAAATTGTAGACCTGCACAAGGCTGGGATGGGCTACATGACAATAGGCAAGCAGCTTGGTGAGAAGGCAACAACTGTTGGCGCAATTATTAGAAAATGCAAGAAGTTCAAGATGACGGTCAATCACCCTCGGTCTGGGGCTCCATGCAAGATCTCACCTCGTGGGGCATCAATGATCATGAGGAAGGTGAGGGATCAGCCCAGAACTACACGGCAGGACCTGGTCAATGACCTGAAGAGAGCTGGGACCACAGTCTCAAAGAAAACCATTAGTAACACACTATGCCGTCATGGATTAAAATCCTGCAGCGCACGCAAGGTCCCCCTGCTCAAGCCAGCGCATGTCCAGGCCCGTCTGAAGTTTGCCAATGACCATCTGGATGATCCAGAGGAGGAATGGGAGAAGGTCATGTGGTCTGATGAGACAAAAATATAGCTTTTTGGTCTAAACTCCACTCGCCGTGTTTGGAGGAAGAAGAAGGATGAGTACAACCCCAAGAACACCATCCCAACCGTGAAGCATGGATGTGGAAACATCATTCTTTGGGGATGCTTTTCTGCAAAGGGGACAGGACGACTGCACCGTATTGAGGGGAGGATGGATGGGGCCATGTATCGCGAGATCTTGGCCAACAACCTCCTTCCCTCAGTAAGAGCATTGAAGATGGGTCATGGCTGGGTCTTCCAGCATGACAACGACCCGAAACACACAGCCAGGGCAACTAAGGAGTGGCTCCGTAAGAAGCATCTCAAGGTCCTGGAGTGACCTAGCCAGTCTCCAGACCTGAACCCAATAGAAAATATTTGGAGGGAGCTGAAAGTCCGTATTGCCCAGCGACAGCCCCGAAAACTGAAGGATCTGGAGAAGGTCTGTATGGAGGAGTGGGCCAAAATCCCTGCTGCAGTGTGTGCAAACCTGGTCAAGACCTACAGGAAACGTATGATCTCTGTAATTGCAAACAAAGGTTTCTGTACCAAATATTAAGTTCAGCTTTTCTGATGTATCAAATACTTATGTCATGCAATAAAATGCAAATTAATTACTTAAAAATCATACAATGTGATTTTCTGGATTTTTGTTTTAGATTCCGTCTCTCACAGTTGAAGTGTACCTATGATAAAAATGACAGACCTCTACATGCTTTGTAAGTAGGAAAACCTGCAAAATCGGCAGTGTATCAAATACTTGTTCTCCCCACTGTATGTAATGCTTTGGAAATTATTTTGTACCCTTCTGACTGATATCTTTCAACAATGAGATCCCTCTGATGCCTTGGAAGCTCTCTGCGGACCATGCCTATTGCTCTGAGATGCATCTAATAAAATGTCAGGAAAATCCTACTAGAACAGCTGAACTTTATTTGTGATTAATCAGAGTCACTTTAAATGATGGCAGGTGTGTAATGACTTCTATTTAACATGAGTTTGAATGTGATTGCTTAATTCTGAACACAGCCACATCCCCAGTTATAAGAGGGTGTGCACACCTATGCATCCAGGTTATTGTAAGGTTTTAATTTTTCTATTGTAATAAGTCTCAGAATGACACAACAATGCTCTCAATGGCAAAATAATTGGATATTGTCTGGGGCTTTTTCAGTTATAAAGAATCTGCTGGTTGCGCTGCCTCAGTCTGTTCAAAGTGTTTGACGTCTGAATACGCAATACATGATAAGCGCAATAACGTAATTCTAGTATTATATTATATCTAGGTTTAGTATTATAATAATGTATTCATTATTGGAGCTAAGGCTCTGCCGGCGAGGCTATGTTATATAGACAGATGTTTACAAACCAGTGAAATCAGTGTTGGTCCTTCAAACCAAATCACTGTGTTATTGTTATTTCACAGAGCGTGTTGTTGTGTTGTTGTTGTTGTTGTTGGTGTTGTTGTTGTTATGTTGTGGTTGTGTTGTTGTTGTGTTGTTGTTGTTGTTGTGTTGTTGTTGTTGTTGTTGTGTTGTTGTTGTTGTCCCTCCTTGTTATTGTTTTGCAGTCTTTGAGGATTTATTCATATATTTCTCTCTCTATTTCTTCCACTCTTTTTTTCTCTCTCTCTTCCTCTCTTTCTCTCTTCCTCTCTTTCTCTCTTCCTCTCTTTCTCTCTTTCCAGGAAACCACCAACCTCCTCCATTGTCCCGCCTTCCAGACACATCCTAAACCACCACCACCACCACCGACACACCACCCATCACCCTTATCATGCTGGCAGTCTAGGCCTGTCTCCCAAGCTGTGACCCACCCGAGACTGAGGCAGCTTCTCCCACGGAGCTCCACACCCCCAGTGGGACCGTCACAGAGATGGCTGATTCAGACCCCTCGTCCCCCTCCAATCCCCCACGGCCGCTGAGCTCCTCCCGCTCCCCCCTCTCCCTGTCCTTCCTCTTCCTCAGGCAGGGAAGTCGGGTGTGGGAGACGGAGAGGAAACCCCCCCTGATGCCAAGCGAGCTGCCCAGCCCTCTGCCCACCAGACGCACCCGTACATACTCAGCGTGAGTAGGAATAATCTGTAGTGGTATAAGTAGTAGTGTGTGTGTGTGTGTGTGTGTGTGTGTGTGCATGACCTTGAGGGTGACCTGGTCACTATTAGGGATTAGGGAGCCATTTTGGATGCAAGCCCTGAGAATAGCCTGCATGGGTTAATGTTTTTCGTTTCTCTGCTGTGTGCCTCTCTCAGTACGGTGCGGGCCAGATCAGGCCCAGTGTATAAGGGCGTGTGCAGGACCTTCTACAGGTCCCAGGGTCATGGCTTTATAAAGCCCTCCAACGGTGGGGAGGACATCTTTGCACACATCTCTGAGTGAGTTGTTCTGAAGCATTAAGATTAGAATTGTATGATAAAGCAATAAGGTATATTGTGATTATAAAATATGATATTATGTACAACGCTTAGCAGTATAACACTTGTCGGTCCCAAAGTCTGTTGTTGTAGATTATAATTTAAACTTGAATGTCCTAGACCTAGAGAGGTCTGCATTCTCTCATAATAATTATCTCCCTCATTAGTATCGATGGAGAATATGTTCCGATGGAAGGCGACGTGGTCACGTACAAAGTCTGTTCCATCCCCCCCAAGAACCAGAAGATGCAGGCGGTGGAGGTGGTCATCACCCACCTGGCCCCAGGAAGCAAGCATGAGACCTGGTCTGGACAGATCATCAGCTCCTAGACCTCCACCTGCACCTGGAGAGAGGCGGTGTGGGGAAGAGTGGAGGGTGGGGGTGGGAAGGGAAGGTGGGAAGGAGCCTGGAGAGGTAAAGGGGGAGGGAAAAGGGAGGAGTGAGAGTCCTGGGTAGGGAGAGAAGGTGGGGAAGGAAGGAGCCTAGAGAGGTAAAGGGGGAGGGAAGAGGGAGGAGTGGAGTCCTGGGTAGGGAGAGAAGGTGGGGAAGGAAGGAGCCTAGAGAGGTAAAGAGGGAGGGAAGAGGGAGGAGTGGAGTCCTGGGTAGGGAGAGAAGGTGGGGAAGGAAGGAGCCTAAAGAGGTAAAGGGGGAGTGAAGAGGGAGTGATTATGTAAAGGTGTTGGAATGTGGTGTAAGGCTTAAGATGGCTTTAAGTAGGTTTCAGTTGGAATGTGAATGAGGAAAAGTACATTCTTTAACTTAAAAAAAAAAAGAAAAAGTGTCAAGGTTAACTTTGATTAAAGATTAAAGGTTGATGGTTTATTTAAGATTATTTAAGATTATTTAAGGTAGCGGGAGTTGACTAAGTTTAATAAGACACTGTTGTAGGGAAAACGTGAAACAAAGAGCAACAAACCTTCCAAAATGATATTGTTTATATTCATACTTTTTATTGATTGATTGATTTACTTATTTCTTTTCCATTCTTTATGACAGGTGAGGTAGATATTTTTGGTCAGATTATTTATAAATGTGTGTTTTTGTGCCAATATATACCTGGTCTAAACCCATTACACAATTCACTTTGATGATACTGCCCTGGTAATGCCCACTCCTTCAGTCTAATTTTGACCAATGACCATTTATTCAAATTTGTAACAGAGTTACTGATGATTACTATATGAGGTTCAAACCCCCTTTTTTAATCATTAAAACAAATGCTATCCAGACTAGTAGACATGTCATTTCTTTAAAAAAAATGGACATATGCTGTTGTCAATAGTCTCATAGTTTCATCATGCAGTGTCCTTGTTTTAGCCTTTTGTAAACATAATTAGGGTCCTATGCATGTTTAATTACATGTTTGATTGTGACAAAAAATATATAGTAGCTAGGATACTACATGTCTCTTTTCTTATGTTGGGAAACTGTTTGAAGTTTCACTAAGTTCAAGAGCACTTTTTCTGTCGAATCACTGTGACTAGCGGCTTGTCATTCCTACTGTATTATTCACATACCTGTGTGAACATTTGTTGATTATTTGCATTAATAAGTTAACCTGTGGTCAAAAAATGTTTATTAGCAATTTAAAAATTGCTTCAGAAATTGCTTAATAGAACGGTATGTAACATCGATAGTCCATTAGATGGCAGACAAGGACAAGTAAACTCAAAGGCACACACAACACGTGAACGATTAGTTACCGGAGTGTAACTCCAGTTCTATGAGTGGAGCTCCGCCCCATAGGGGAGCTCTGCTCCTATTGGTTTACCCTCTGCCCTAAGGCAGTATCAGCCTGAGACAAAATTATGCACACACCTGCAGCCAATAGGAGTACAGGTGTCCCTATAAGAGGGGATGCCTCCCCTCAATCAGCCTCCCGAGATATTTATCTTCAGCGAGACTAGAGAGGGTCGGCAGGGCCTTAAGTCCTATGGGGCTCCGCTCCACTCATAGAACTGGAGTTACACTCCGGTAACTAATCGTTCTACATCGTGGAGCTCCGCCCCATAGGGGAGCTCTGCTCCTATTGGTTTAAGGCGTAGCGCTCCAAAATGTACTCCCTGCCGAGCCCAACACTTCCCATCGAAACGAAAAGGTCAGGCCTAGCAATGGCTGCAACCAAGTCCCGCAGTACTGCAACCACTGTATGACAATACAAGTGTCACAATATACTGCTGTTATAAACAGGGGTGCACATAACTGGTACGCAGGTACGCAAGCGCGACAAAAATCAGGAATGCATAATGCCACTTGTGTTACTACGCGCCTTTGCGTACTTGACCGATCTTCTCATCTAACCTTACACATGACATGTTGCTTGTCAACTACTGTCAGGGATGTCCAAAAAGCAACAGACATTAAGCAGCTTCTTTGGCGTTTCGCCACCTACAAAGAAACGCCAACTGGAGCCAGAGCCGAAGAAAATACTTTTTTTCGGAAAAGTGGCTCCAAGATTTGCAGTGGCTTGAAGCTAATGATGAGCGCACTGAAATGTGGTGCAAGATTTTCCTCTCAAATCCACATCTAGCAGACAAAACAGGTGCATTTTATAAAGGCTCAAAGAATTTCAACCATCCTTTATTTGACAAACATGAAAAGAGCAAGGAGCACACTAATGTGGCGCAAGCCATTGCTAAACAAGCTAGCCGAGAATAAATGTCCAGTCGCCCACTTGCCAGATGGCGAGACAAGCTAAATGAAGAACAGCGGCAAGCTCTGTTTAATATTTTTTTCCTCGCCTTCCATAAAGCTAAACACGCACGTCCCATGTCTTCCTATTCTGAGGATGTTCCTTTACTGAAGCGGCTAGGAGTAAATGTCGGAGGTGCATATCATTCACGTGGAGGGGGCACACGGATCATGCAGAGCATCGCTCACACCATCAGCGGGGAGTTACGAGCCAAGTTGCAGTCTGCTGAATTTTGGGGGCTGCTTTTTGATGGATCTGAGGACATCACAAAAACTGAGCAGGAAATCGTTTACATTGTGTCTGTGTCCAGCAACGGAGAGTTTACTTCGGACTTTATTGGACTGATTGAATTGGGTGCTGACCGAACCGCGCAGGCCATAACAGACGGACTTGTGAGACTTTTCCAGGACACAGGCTTGGATGACTGGACAACAAAGTTGGTCGCTGTGTGCACAGACGGGGCTGCTGTCAACGTAGGTATCTACAACGGCGTTGTGCCAAAACTCCGGCAACTTGCTGCGGTTGGAGACTCCCTTGTGCACATTCTGTGCACCGCACACACACTGGAGAATTGCGCGAAATCAGCTGATCGCAACGTTCCTTACTGTGAGACATTTAATCGCTCTGTGGTCAAGCTGCTGCAGTTTTATTTACAAAAAGGTGGAGCAAAAAACTGCTGCACTGAATAAGCTATGTGAAGAAAATGGGAACTCCTTTGTGAAACTGGGTAAGTTTCATAATATCAGATGGTCTGCATGGAGGCATGAAACACTGTTAAAAATATCAAGACTATTGCCAGCCATTAAAATGCAAGTGGTTACAAGTGATAACAGTGACTTGCAGCATATCTGCACAGAGCATTTTCAGTGCTTTCTGTCAAACATGCTTGACATTTGCAACATTTTGAAGACCACATCCATTAGGTTTCAGAAGGAAAAGCTGACCATTGGAGAATGTAAGGATGAACTCATGGTGGCCATTGGACAGTTCACACTTCTGCTTGATGGTGAAAGCCACAGGGCACACACAGTTTCCAATGCTGATGCTGACAGAGACAAGACACACTTACTCAGGGGGTTAATTGAAGAGTTTGAAATCAGATATGACTCCCTCAAGTCATGTGATCATTTCTTAGTATTTGATCCTTCAACATGGCCTCAGGAAATGCAAGACCTCCACAGTTTTGGAAACACAACAGTTTGCAGCATTCTCAAGAAATATGAGGCCACCTTGCAACTTGACAAAGATACCACTGTGACAGAATGGATGTGCTTAAAGCAGTGTATGACTTGGTCCAAATAGTAAATACAAGTAACCCAGATGCTTACTCCAACATCAACAAGGTGGTTAAGCTGTCTCTTACACTGCCTTTAAGCAGTGCAGCTTGTGAGAGGGGATTTATAATCAACATTATAAAAACCAAGTACAGATCTTGTCTGTCACATGCTCGTCTCTCAGCCCTGATGCACATTCACCTGTCAAAGCAGACCACAGAGACATTTGACCCAAAGCCTGCTGTTGACCTGTGGATGGAGACAGCTAATTGGAGGCTCAACCAAGGACAGAGAGGTGCATCTGCAGCATCGTCATCATCTATCATGCAGGAAGCTGAAGCAGAGGACAGTGGGGGCGACACTGAAGAGGACAGTGGTGGCGGCACTGAGGAGGACAGTGGGGGCGACACTGAAGAGGACAGTGGTGGCGGCACTGAGGAGGACAGTGAGGAAGACTGCACTTATTAAGACCACGCTACATATGGGGTGAGTACCAGACACCATCTGCTGGTACTCACCTGAGTAACTCACTGAAAAAGGTATGTGCACCCCTGGTTATAAACCCGCCCCACCTAGTCCAATGGCAACACCAGTGACTAGTGGGCGGATCACCAGAATACAAGCCATACTAATCTGTACTAGCAGATAGATGGTACTCAATATCCTGACTGTCACACCCTGGCTCTGGGACTCATTATGTTGAGCCAGGGTGTGTTCATTTCTATGTGTGTATTTCTATGTTGGTGTTCATTCTAGTTTGTTGTATTTCTATGTTTGCCTGAGTGACTCCCAATCAGAGGCAACGAGTGTCAGCTGTTGGCTGGTTGTCTCTGATTGGGAGCCATATTTAAACTGTATGTTTTCCCTTTGTGGTTGTGGGTTTTTGTTCCGTGTTCGGTCATTGATACCGTGGACGTCACGAGTCGTGTTTTGTTTTGTATTTTGACGCTTTAACTAATTAAAGTCATGTTTGTTCATCACGCTGCGCCTTGGTCTACTCCTTACCTCGACCTTGACAGAAAAACCCACCATGCAACGACCAAGCAGGGTGTCCAGGGGCAGCCCTTGGGCTGGACATGGGAGAAAGCGCCGGGAGAAGAGACGGTGGAGGCGCGCCGTAGAGAGGAGCTACGGCGTGATCAGGGTCGTCGTCGGACGGTCGTGAGGCAACCCCAGAAATTTTTTAGGGGGGGACACACGGCATGGACGACGGGGCTGACGGAGGAGAAAAGGGGGCGGATCCAGAAGGCCACCAGGCCAGGGGTACACCGCCCTGTACGTCCTGTGCGGATGCCTCACACAGAGTGTGTGAGGGTAGGCATTCAGCCAGGACGGGTGGTGGCCGCTCTTCACTCCAGGC